TTGTCCACTTTCTTAAGTTTCCCTTAGAAACTGATAAAAATTATACTGACTATAAGAGAGTAACTTAGCTAACAGGAATTCGTTTCCATTTCTGACGGTTCCTTTTTCTACTGCTTATTTACAGTTAAATGTTAAATCCTTGACTGCTTTGGATATCACATTAAATTCTTATTCGCGTAATATCTTGAACTGTTTACAGTCTTGAAATTAATTCTAGACTGAACAAATTCTAAATTTAACTATCCTGCGTTAATTTTCAGAAATGACGTTGTTTCTGACGGTGTCAACTCCCGAGTTTACATTATACCCTTCTACTATGGGTATTTATCTTCTGACTTTAACCTAGCTGTCTGGCAATTAAGGATTTTCTCTTTTTTAAAAATGTCAGTGCGTTTTTTTTTTACGCTGCTAACATCATGCTGTGTTTGGAGATTCTTGAAATTAAGATTCTCAAACTATACTTGTACTGAAAATTATTCCGCCTTAAAGTACGGCAAGAATTTATCGATCGAATTTACTTGATCGAAAACATGAACTTAACATGAAATCTGCTACAGAATTTAGGAATACATATATTGATTCCATAAATCCTTCAGTCACATAATATTTTCTAGGAAAATCCTTAGCTTAAATAAATAAATTGTATTATTTAAAGTCTGGAATTTTCTTAGTCATTACATTTTGTGTGGCAATGATGATTACATTCATGCTAATTTAGTAGGTTGTTCTTAGACAATTTTACATAGCTTTCCTCTTTTTCCTTCATTCCTTCTCTCTGCAGTGAACAAGGAGTTTTTGGTGTCATTAGTACATTCTAGTTTTAATTGGCATTTTTAGATGGCAATAATGCTTATAGTCATATTAACTTACTAGATTGTTCTTAAACAATTTTACACAGCTTTCCCCTTTTTCCTTCATTCCCTCCATTTCTGAACAATGAGTTTTGGGTGTATTTAAATTCTAGGTTGTGGTTGCACCAATTTTAGCCCGGTTTCTTACTCTTCTATATACAAACTAATCTTGTATTGTAAAAATTATAAACTTTTTGTATAATTCATAATTAACTAATCCTGTACTGTAAAATTTATCAACTTTTTATATATTCATGTAAAAATTATCAACTTTTTATATAATCCATGACTATTACCCGCTGCAATGACTATTACCCGCTGCACGCGCGGGCAAAACACTAGTGATTGTCTAAATTCGTAAGACACGAATTTCTTTTTTTTTTTTTGGGCTGAAAAGCAGGACACTACTTTTAAGTAAACGGGCTTCGTTCGTTTCGCTGATTCGAGTTTAGAATTCGAGTTTTATTACAGTAAAAAGCTCTTACAAACAGTCACATCTAACTTTTTTGCTATAGTAAAAAATTTTCACATAAAATCACATCTCAACTCGAATCAGCAAAACGAACGAAACTAAACTTAATAACAAAAATAAATAAATAAATAAAAGCCCCAAAGCCTCTCCTCCTCCTCTCTATTATATAAGAACACTCAAACTGCCATGGACGACCCTCCTCTCCACCGTATCTACGGTTTCGTGATCGGTCTCGTCGCCTGTTTGAACTCACTCATAAACGATAGCCCTACTTCCCACCGCTTCTATGCTAACAACCATCAAGCCATTATTAGTGGCGCCATAGCTCCAAAACCTTATTGAAGAATTTTTTTTTATTATTGTAAAATATTCCCTAAATTTATACTATTAGAGATTGTCCATTGACTTAAAGAATAACATTAAAAATTAAAAATAACACCCATTTATATATGTGACTCAATGAGTTTCGGTTCTTATCTCACATGTCAATCTTTTTTTTTTTTTTTTTTTTTTCCAAATAAGCTCACAGCCTGAGAGCGTTTTCATCTAAATTTCAACAATCGTCAATAAATTAGATACACTTACAAAACATTATGGTGACGTTTGTTTTAAGGATTCTGTTTGATTTAGGATTATGGTTCTTAATTATACTATAATGTTACAAAAAATTTAAAATTCAAAAATTAAAATCATGAACCATAATTTTAAACTCATAAATCAAACGTCGCCTATACTTAAAAAATAATTTACCAAATTATTAGTTTATATAATTTTTTGCTGAAATTATTAGTTTATGTAATTACTTACCAATTGTTAAATATTTAAGAAATCTATTTAATTTATTCGGAGCTATTAGAACAGAATTCACTTTTTGGGGAATATAAGTCGAAGCAATAATAAAAATATTTTTAGTGGAACATCTATCATGAATGTTTAGAATTTATATTATTTGCTAATTCGAATTAAATGGTGATATAAAAATGTGTCATGATAAAAATTTACACATTTGTAAATAAAGGATACATTGTTTAGTGTACAAAAAGGACACGTTTCACGTAACATGCACCCCAAGTCGTTCGTTGTAAATATAAACAATGAGCTAATGATAAAATTTAAACATGTTACATATTTGATCTAAGCGTGAGAATTCGTTATGTATTTTCAGAATTTGTTGAGATCATTCCATGTATTTTTCTAATTAGACAAATCTCACTCTTGTCATCAAAATATCATATTTTATACCTTCACATTTCTAATTAATGCTAAATCCTTATCCTTTCATGGAAAACATTTTATTTTAAAAATGAAAAATACCTAAGTATACTCTATTTTTTTATTATTTGTTTATTTATTTATTCCTTTTCTCTTTAAAGGCGTTTATTAGATCTTTTTATTGTTAAAATAAACTCTGACCAATAAAAAGTAAGAATTAAGCATAATTGAAAATCTGAATGCATAAACGTGACACAACGGAAAATACAATGTGTGATTTCTTATAATCACAAAATGTTAACGTATAAAAATAAAATGAAAATAATGTAGGACATAAAAAATTAGAAAAAAAAAAACAAAAACAAAAAGATTGGATCCTTGTGAAACCGGGTAGCGTGTTTGACCCGACGAAAAGCGCGTGTCCACGGCTTCGATAAATGCTCACTTGCTTTCGTTGAATCCCTTTGGATTTCGCCATTAGACGTTTCTGGAATACCCAGAAAGTCAATAGCCCTCTCTCTCTCTCCTCGTCCGTGAGGCCGCCCAGACGTCTCTCCGATCTGCTCCTGCCCTCCCGGTTAGTTTCTCTACCTCTTTCCGCCTCCATTTTCTTGGCTTCTCTAGGGTTTTCTATTGGGTCTTGTTTGTTCGTCTTTTACTTTTATTTATGATATAATGGTCATGATTCAGTGTTGTTGATATGGTCTTTATATGCTTTTGCTGTTATTGCAAAAGAACCCCTTTTTTGTTGTTTAATTCGCTAGAAGTTTCGACATTATTTATGTTTATTGGTCATTTGTTAGTAGTTTAAATGGGTAAATCTGATCGCTTGTGAAGTGAATGGAAAATTGTATTACAACTTATGATTTATTAGCTTCTCTTTTTTTCTTGTTTGGGTTTTTTTATTTTTTTATTTTTTTGAAGTTTGGTTAGAAAGAAAGATGGCCTGTGATATTTGAGAGCTACTTCTTCAGAATCTTTATTGTTGTTATTCTTTTCTGTTTGCAGATTTTTGTTGAGTAGTGTGGAGGAAAAATCCTTCTTTGGGGGCTGTTGAGGCGGGTCTTTCGGACTTGGAATTCTGATTTCTTCGTATAAGGTAAGAAAGACGGATGGAAAGTTAGTTTTTGTGGACCATTTTTGTGCGTTTCTTTTATTGTTATAAATCTAGTTGTCTGGGTTTATGTAATGCAACTTGTTTAAGTCAAAAAATTCTGGGGCTAGAATTTTTGGCTTTATATAGATCCTGCATTCGTTGAGCTTTATGTCTTTGTGATGCCTGGCACCATAAAAGACAATTCGCTGTGTTGATCGCTTGATTTGTTAAATCCGTTATGTTTCGATAACCTTTTTTTTGGGTTAGTTACCCACCTTCTACGTGTTGTAATTTTCTTTGGAAGGATTTAATTTATGGAAAAGACTTTGTTAGAGTGATTTAAGAGTAATTAAACACATTCTAAAACATCTAGCAGCTCATGGTGCTCAACATGTTTAGGATAATAGTGATTAGGGAAATGTTAAACATGATGGAGTAGAGAATAAAGGTTTTATCAGAAATCGATCTTAAAGGGTTTGTACGTGTTTCATATGCTCTCATAGAACTTTGCCAAGTTTCAGTCTTATGTAGACAAAACATTGTTATGTTGCTTGAGTCTTGTTATAACTGGAATTTTAGTGATTATCTTTATTATATGAATACATGATACATTGATATTATTTGTTTGCTGACGTGAAAATATTCAAACATTGGGGCTCTTTTCATGCGTGAATTATTCTTATTGGACTTCAACTAGTTGATGAAACAGCTAACATGGATTTTTCTCTTTTGTGAGATGCACTTCCGGTCATCATCATATCAAAATGCAGGTGTTGCGCTGGTTTTTATATATAAATGGACGCCAAGAAGTTCATCCAACTCGTCGAGGAAAAGAAGAAAAGAGCTTTGGAGAAGAAGGAAGCCCCTTTGAAATGGGAGCAGAAGCTAGAAGCTGCAGCGAAGACTAAGGCTGATGCTGAAGCCAAAGAGAGGAAAACAAAGGCTTCGAAGCATAAAAGAAGATCTGTTTCAAAGTCTGATTCTGATAGTGACAGTGAGAGTAGTCAGGGGAGATGGAAGTGTAGTAAAAGAAGCCACAAGAAGCACAGGAAGCATGCCCACTCTGACTCTGTTGACAATGAGAAGAGGAAAGAAAAGATATCTAAGAGAAAGCCAAGGAGACGATCTTTGAGCTCTAGTGATAATAGCGATGATGAATATGTATATGATTCTGAAGAAGATAGGAAGAGGAAGAAGCGTAGCCACAAAAAGCACAGGCACCATGATTTGAGATCAGATTCTAGTGCTTCTGATTTTTCAAGTGGCGAGGATGATGAAGCAATTGTTAGGAGAAGTCATAGAAAGCGCCACAGACATCAACACAGATCCGATTCAGATGCTTCTGATTATTCAAGTGACGAGGAAAATAGCAGATTGCGAAGGGGAAGATGTGAAAAGCACCACAAACGTCATCGGCGGTCAGACTCTGGTTCTTTAGATTCTTCGAGTGACGAGGATGAGCATGCAACAAAAAGAGGTGGCAGAAGACATCATAAACACCATCGGCGATCACACAGTGTTGACTCAAGGTCATCAGATTCTGATTTCCAGAGGCACAACCAGAGTCGATCTTTGGGAAAGTCATCGGATGATGATCATGAACAAGCAAACAAGCAATCGAAGCATAAGAGATGTGGTCACCATCACCGCCATCATCACATACATCGGCACCATGCCTCTGATGACGAGAAAGTTCGGTCTCTTCAGAATCTGACAGAACCTAATGGAAAGCCCATGGAGGGCGACGGAAACCCAACTGATACCAATGTTGCTAATAATAATGCTCAATGATTTGATATGATTTGCTTTGCTTCTTGTGTTATTGGCGGACTAATGAAACTTGAAGCGAATGATTGTAATTTGTTCCTTGATTTATTACTTTAATAGAGTTTAAGTTGCTCCGCGTTAAAATGCTCTTTCTTTTTAAAAAATAGAATCATTTATAATGGTTGAAACTCAGCAGGCAATTATGCAAAACACATTGTGCGTGAATGATTCACACCATTGATAATAATAAAAGTTTTAATATGTTAACTATTATCTCTTCTTAATACGTGTCTTATATATTAATTTGGCCCTTAAAGAGGACAACCATCCTTATCAGGAGGAGTTATAATTTTGGTACTTTCAACATGAAGGTGTCAATTGCTTAACGATTTTAATTAATCGGGCTGGTTCATGTGACTAACTGATCTAGGCTAACATAATAAGTCTAAACCAAAGACTTTAAAATTTAAAGAATCTTTAAAAAAAAGATTATTCTCACCGGCGTCTCTTGAATTTTAAGGTCATTCTTAATTTGTCCATTGAATTTTAAAAATTCTCATTTTACCACCTCAACTTTAAATTATTCTCACTTAACTCCTTTTATTATAATTTTTGTTAAAATCACAGAAAAAGAGAAAAATAAATGTAGTCGTGTATTTCTATCTATTTTTTTTTTAACAAATATCTAAACAGTCTGACTTTTAATAGAATTGCAACATTAGGGGTTAAGTAGAAACAATTTAAAGTTCAAATGGTAAAATAAGAGCTTTTAAAATTTAGGGGTCAAATTGAGAATGATCTTAAAATTTAAGAGGCATCTATGATAATAATCCTAAAAAAAATGCAAATTCTTCTTTGTTCCAACTCCTATATCACCTACTCTTTGATTGCAATCACTGCATTGTTTGCCTTTCTATGTTTTATTTTTATGTTTCTTTTTGCAAGCTATTACAAATTGATGTTTCAATAATAAAAGTATGAATGTTGCAACTTGTAATAATTTTGGGAATGAATTTTGTGCTATTTTTAGTTGTAGGGGGTAAATGGAGACACCTTGGCCCGTTTGTTTGCGTTTTCGTTTTCGTTTTTCACGGTTTTCAAAGCAAAAAAATGAAAACGGGTGTTAAAAACGTGTTTGGTGCAATTTTTTTTAAAAAACAAAACCAAAAACGTTTTTGTCTTTTTGTGGAAATCAGAAAACGAAAAAAAGGTGTTTTCATTTTCTTGTTTTCGTTTTCTGTTTTCTGAAAAACGGATTTCACTTTTTTTTTTCTTTTTCATTTTCTTCCCTCTTTTCTGAAACCGTTTTTGTATTATATATGTTTATTTAATATATTTATTTAATATATTATTATTTAATATATTTAATAATATTATTTATATAATATATTTAATAATATTATTTATTTAATATATTATTATTTAATATATTTAATAATATTATTTA